ATCATAGCTTGTTTGATCGTACTCAATTGTTAATTATCATTTTTCCAGTTGAATATTGGAATTTGGAATAAATCAGAATATGTAATTTGGAATAGTTGATCAAATCAAATATATGAATAATATGCACGAATAAAATTTTGAATTTCGGAACAATAAAATATGTAATAAGGAATGATAATTTATGTAATAAGGAATGATATTTATGTAATAAGGAATAAAATTTTAATCCAGAATAAGGAATGATAAATTATAATGATTATTATATTTTTTAGGTGTTAAGTTAATCATAGCGTTTTATACTTTTAGCGTTTTACATTTTTTACGTTTTACATTTTTTAGCGTTTCAATATTTAATTACTAGCGTTTTAATATTTTATTTATTTTTATTTATTTTCAAACTCCGAGGTTAAAATATGCAAATATTATGCACATTTCCCTCTCTTAAAAAAAAAATTTAAATTTCACACCCTAATTTTAATTCAAAAAAAAAAAAAATTCTTCATAAGATAGTTTTGAAAATTCACCACATATATTTAAAATATATTTTTCTAAAATGAATGTTTTTTTACATAACTTTTTGTCTTCAAAGCTTTTAATTTCAAAAACTTTTTATCATATTAAGTATTACTTATAAGGGTTATTTGAATCAATCATGTGATTTAAAAATTACATTTTAACATATTTAAAATTAAGTTTTATCTTCTTGTTTAGGATTTTTAATATTTTTAATTATATTTAAGAATTCACCTTTAGGTTTATGTTAATTTACAACAATTGGTCATCATTCAAGAAATCAAAAAATATCAATATTATCCATTATGATTTTACATTTTGTAATTTTAAAAATTTATAAATGCCTTTATCCTGGCATAAAATTTTAATTTATAATACTTCTTACGTGGATTAGAATAATAAGTAACCATCATTGGTCTCACAAAATAGAATTCATAACCTATCGTTCAACTTCCATATCAGTTCTTCCTAGGTTGTCACATTAGGTTAGGTGCTGGCTATTATATTCCAGTCCAACATCCAGAGCCGGGACACCATAAAGAAAGAAGCTTTTTGCATGAAAGAACGTACTAAGGTTTGATTCTTGGTCATCTCAGTAGTTTAGGTAGTCACAATAGATAAGGTAGTCATAATAGGTAGTCATAATAGGTAGTCATCTCCATAGGTTAAGCACAAGGTAGAGTCATAATAGGTAGTCATCTCCATAGGTTAAGCACAAGGTAGAGTCATAATAGGTAGTCATCTCCATAGGTTAAGCAATCAACACAATAGGTAGTCATATAAATAGAGTCATCTCAATGGATTAAACAATCGTCACAATAGGTAGTCTAAATAGAGTCATCTCAATGGATTAAACAATCGTCACAATAGGTAGTCTAAATAGAGTCATCTCAATGGATTAAACAATCGTCACAATAGGTAGTCATATAAATAGAGTCATCTCAATGGATTAAGCAATCGTCATAGATTAGATGGTCATCTCAGCAGATTAGGTAGTCATCTTTTTCTAGTCCACCACCCAAAGGGCACCATGCAAAGAATATGGGTGGTGACTATATGGTGCGAGGTTCGAGTCAGTAAAAATATATTTTATTAACTCATTTCTTTTTCTTTTGTTAAGGTATTTATACATTTTCTGACATATAAATTAGAATATAAAACGAAATACAAAAAAGTAAAATAATATATAAAAAAGTAAGGTTACGCCGTTTATAAAATAAAATTAGATTAACAAAATAATAAAAGTTCAAATGCAAAAAACAAAAAATAAGATAAAGGAATAACGCAACAATATTAATACACCTTCATTATACAAATAAATGGATCATATTTGTAAATTTTCAATATAACTATATTTTATAATTTCTAATAAAATTGTCTTTAAGAGTGCCCTCTGCATTTGAATTCTGCTAGCTGAGGGGTTTGTATACTTTCTTAAAAAATTTATTTATGTGCACAATAAAAAATATTTTAGTCTTTATTTTTATACATTTGTATTTGTAATTTAATACCTAAAACATAAATATAATTCTCTGAGAAAGTATACAAACCCCTCATCTAGCAGGATTAATTATTTTAGACCTTAAATTCCAAATACAAATGTAGAAATTATTTTTAATTGGGCAACTTAAAGACAATTTTATTAGAAATTATGTAATATAGACATATTTTTAAAATGTACAAGTATAATCTAATTATTTGTATAATGATACTAAATATATACTTCACTAATATATAAAAATAAAGGTAATTTTCATATTCACACTTAATATAAGAAAATTTGATTTCTGACATCCATAATCAAATAAAGAGTAAAATTCTGATTTATTCATCCTCAAATAAAGGAGAAATATTTTATTCCCCGTCATTTTTGACGGGTTATCAGTATATACATAAAATAATAACTTTTTGTTTGTTATACATTATTTATTCTTATATGAATTTTTGTGAAAAAATATGAATTGTATTTAATAAAATTATTAAAATATTTAGAAGCAGAATCTGAAACCAGAAAAAAATTAAGAGTTTTTACCAGGGTTGCCAAATTCATTTAAACAAAAAGCAGGAGAATTTAGCCATATTTCATAAAAAAATAATTTTTATTTTTATCAAGGTGATTATTTCTTTATTTAAATAAATATATCTAATATGCAACAATAAAATAAAGGAAGATAGATCATATTATCATATATTATTTTTAATATAAAATTAATAGATATCATTTAAAAAATCAGTACATATTTTTATTTTCAAAAGATTTTATGTTATAATTAAATTTTTATTTTTTTATATATTTCTTATAATCTTTAAAAGTATAATTTAAATTATGTTTGATCATTAATTCCGCTTTTAAAGCTGATATAAATAACCGATTACGATCTTTCCTGCAGAAATATTTTATTAAACTAAATATGCGCTCTGAATCAGTTTGAACGTGGTAACGAGAATATAATTACATATTTTTTTCAAAATTTGGCGCAAATGTTCTTTGGAAAAAAAAGTACCATTTCTTTTAAATCGATATATTATTATTTTGCTTTATAAATGTATTTAAAGCAACGAATTCCTGAAATAATTTATCTCATTCGATATCTTTTGTATTAAATTCAAACTTCATAAAACTTAGATTTTCCTATTTATTATTTGTAAATTCATATTTTTTTCTAAATATGAAAAAGATTGTTTTAAAGAATTTATTAGCTTCATTTTGAAATGATGCTATCTTATCATGATCATCACATTTTATAAGATTTTGTCTTGCAGACGAGCCATAAAAGTTGGGCTTTTAAAGTTGAAACTTTTTATTAATAAAAACATCTCCGCTCAATTGAATTTTTAGATTTCAATCACGTTGTTTAAGGTCGTTTCTATATTAATAACTAGGTCCAAATTAGCCTCGGCCAATAAATTTATTATCAAAAAATAATTTTAATATTGAATTGAAATTTTTTTGGGATAAAAAAATACGATTTAGCAATAAAAATTTTTTATTAAGTCATTCATGAGCCGATTAATGATAGCCAACTTGTTGGAACAATTCCTAGAAGTTTGGACTCATTATCTTGAAAATCCATAATTTTAAAAAAAAAACATTTGTGGATCTGCATAATTCGGCATAACATTTCATAATAATTATTTCTATCTATTGATAATGAAGCATACCCCTTTCTTCCCGCATTGTGAATTGTATAGCACAGGCAACCAGTGTGGATAATATTTTCATTTAAAACTATAATTCTGTCATTACACTTTGCCTTTTTTCGAAATTCTCACTTGCGTTATCAGCATGAAATTACAATTTTCAAGGCTCTGTACAAGCCTAGAGACAATATCCTTCGAATTCTCCTAGTCCGATGAAAATATTTATAGAAGTTCTTGAAACACCTCTTTCTTTACCAAAATAGCTCAACATAATTGGGAGTTTTTTAGTATTTTCATTATTTGATGCATCAGTTAATAAGTTAGATAAAATAAAAAAATTTCCTTCAAATCCTCTAAGATGTGTTCTTTAGTTTCAGGATCCAGGATATTTAACACTATTTTTGAGGTTTTGTTCTTTTATATTTTATGCTTTTGCCATTTTTGAATCAGGAAAAAGTATAGGCATAAGTTTCTGGTTAAGTTATATTTTATAAAAAAATTGGGAGAATAGCGTAAATAGACGGCGTGTTTTGGCGTAAACTAGAGTAAAAAATCAGGAAATTACGCCAAAAGTCGGAGATCTAACCTAGTTCTGACTCCTCTCCTGAATATTTTGTAAAAAGGTATAAGTTCTGGGTTTCGGTTTTAAGGTTATCAGGGTTCATTGATTCAGTTTAATCTATTTTATGTTAAAAATTTGATTTGTTATCAAAAAAATGAATTAAACTTATTCATATCTCCCTGGGATTAATCGCCAACCCTACCCCATATTTCTAACCGTTAATCCTACTAATTATCTCCTCAATTATTAATGTTTTTACTTTAAATATACTACTGCTAATTAAAAAAAAATCTTCAGGTGAACATTACTTGAGTCAAGCTATTATATTATCGAGAATGAACGTTTACATTCAAAAGCAAAACACAATTATAATTTATTAACCACGAGGGAAAAATATTTTAGTAAGATATAATAAAAATCGTGATTATTGGATCAAAAAATTGGGGAAACTAGGGGAAATTGGAAATTTCTCTTGTGCCAATATTATTAAATTCAAAGTTTATTACAAAATTTATTAAGAATCTTTAATAACCTGCCAAAAATTAAGTATCTACCAAGGGATTTTTGTACCGCCAAAAGTATTTAATATTATTGTCCACTTATTTAAAAAAATACTTCCCAGAATAATTTGTTGTCCTTTTTTAAAAAAAATTTTTTATTTCATTCTCTTATGTTTATGAAGAATATTAAACTTTTGATTTTAGTATTTAATTTTTTTTTATTACTTATTAAATAATAAAATTCGTAACTATGTCAGACTTGAATATTAATTATTTTTTAATAGGCTGAAGATCTATCGAATCCTATGAACAAAGAAAGGCGCAAACAACTCTTAGATAGACATCTAGTCATACTCAGACATGACCTGGAAAAGCATAAAGCTGCTAAAGAAAGTTTTAAAAAAATTCAATTTTTTTTTGAATTGTATCAATTTCACCATATACTATTATATATTCGATCCATTGAAGATTGGAACAACATTTCTAATAAGAGGACAGATATAAGTGCATAAAACCGATGATATTATTAAAATTTATTGTTTATCCGTATGGTATAAAAACATTTCTTTGGGCCAATAATTCCAAGCAATTGATTTCTGATTTATTCCTAATTTTTTTAAATAGATTATGTAATTTGGAAATCAAAACTAATTTCACGATTTAAATTTAATATCAAAATTATTTTTTAAAAAAAATGATTGCTTTTTGTAAATTTTTATGTTTTTGGTTGATGTTTTGTGGACTCGAATTATTTTTTTTGTAATAAGTTAAGTGTGTATACTAAATTTTCTATTAAAAGATATATTTTTGAGCTAATGTCAATACCTGGAGTTGGGCGCAGGATATAATAATTTAAACCCCACGTGATCAGAATAAATCATCAGTGTTCTCTGATAAAATAAAAATGAAAATATAACTTGCGTTTTATCAAAAAAAATCGGCAACCTTTAGTTTACCGATCGGTCCCAGGGTAAGATAGTTTGGCCGATGAAATCTTTTGTATATAGATTTGATTAAAAATTTATAGTTCCATTTAAATAATAATGCATTTATTATAATTAAGGTGTTGATGCTTTAGTCAAAATGTATTCTCATCAAATCAACGATGCACGTTCACCCGATCCTAATATAGCCCAATCATCAGCTAAGGAAATACGTCGAAAGTTCTTGAGTTGCCATCACACTTACAACCATTTACAAGTTTTTTTTATACTTGTCAATATAATGAAAATATTCTGATAATATGGAAAGAAGAGAAAGTAAATGATCAAAGTAAGATAATTTATAAATAAATGATTATATTTCACTCTATTGTATAAAATCTATCTTAACTAATACGTTTATTATATGTAATTGGTTTCGTTAAAATTTAACATTCAGGCCAGTTATAACAAGGTTAACAAAGTATTGGCTCAATTGAACAATCAAATATGCCTCGAAGATCCTCGCGGAAAATATATCGAAACTTTTAAAGATAGCAAAAACGTTTGTATCATTTAATTTTTTTAAATCACGTTTTTATTAGCAATTGCCCATGAGCTCAGCACTTGGATTTTGTTGTATTTCACAAATATTACTAAGAGTGTAAATTTAAATTATTTTAAAATAATTCGATTTTAGTTTAATCTTTTTCACCATAGGGCATAACTAATTCTACTCTCAAAATACCGTCATGGGATGAAGAAGTTGGGTTAGCCGAATTCGAAAAATGTTTAAAACCTATACTGGAATCGTTGAATAGGAATCAACATAATCCTAGTCACTTGCCCCATAATACTTCCCCCAATTCATTCCAGCCTGAAGAGGAGGACTATCAGTCGAAAACAGATAAAAATGGGTCGCAAGTTATGCAAAATGCTAAAAACGGTCACCAAAATCGCGAAAAAGACGAGAAAACCAATCTTAAAGGCTGTGGCTTGACTTTTTCCGGGATTGGAAAGAATTTGTTCGGTAAAGCCCAAAATAAATCTCCCAAAACCGATGCTGCTACTCACAGTATAAAAATTTGCTTTAAATTATCTTTTTTTATAAATCATTAAAATTTTCTCTATTGATGTTTAAGGTCCCAAATCAAACAAATCCACACCCCCTCCTCCATCTCAGCCAGCTAAATTGACCTACATCTCCTCTTCGCCTGCTCATACTGATCAACAGTCACCTCCTTCGCTCTACCCATCTGTTCATACTGATAATTGTCGGTATAATGACTATGAAAACAAGCGAAATGTACCATCGCCCCCATTGAGGAATCATTATCGCGGAAATATTCTTGGGAATTTTGATCGAGATGTGCCGGTCAGGAACAACAGGCCCTTCAGTTACATAGATCCTCCGCCTTACAATCACGATCATTCCTCGGCCAAGGAAAGAATCAACCACGATGATTTTGTCCGCCCTTTGAATAACGCTGGTAATAAGGTGTGCATTGTCAAATACGAATACACGGCCAATAAGTCGGATGAGTTATCAATTAAACCCGGTAAATTTTTAACGCCTAATTAATCGGATGAATATTTAAGAAGATTCTATCAATTCTTTTAATCCCTCCTCCTTACAATGATACATAGTTAAAACGAACCTAATTTTATATTTTTGTTATAGTTTTAAATTAAATGAACCAATTTATAATAATTTTATTTGCAATTTTTTGTTATAGTTTGAAATTTTAATATTTTTCATAATATCAATCCCTGAACATGATTATGCCATAGATGAAAGTGAACCTTTTTCAAAACTACTGTTATACCACACAATTTTGCACAATATTTCTATTGTTCTTCTTTTTATTTATAATTTAATATTTTAAATTAAACTAGGCGACATACTCGAGATATACAATAAACAACACGATGGCTGGTGGAAGGGTCAGCGGATTGTTCCTTGGGGTAACCATACAGGAATATTCCCGTCCACATACGTCCAAGAACTAATGTCTCATAACGAGAGCAAAGCTTACAAAAATCAGAATTTCAATTCAAATAGTCACGATCACAACTTAGTTGATTATAAATTATCGAATAATAATCGTATGAGTACCAGCTATAAATATGACCTGGTGCCTACGGCTCCTAATCATTAAATCAAGATACGCCGAAGAATTTATGGAATATTATTGAAAAATATTAAAGATTGGTGGATGGTTTAGAAAAATATTGGCCTAATGACACAATCGTTTTACTCACAAATTAATCTCGTTTAAATTACTTATATCAATACATTATAAAATTTTGATCAACATTATATGAGCGCTTTATTAGATAAATCATTTTTTTAAACAAAAAAAATAGTTAATTATTTCAAAGCAATAATAGTCCTTGAATTTTATTTAATCGCTTGTATTTTTTTTTAAATATTAAATAATCATCTTACCATTTTAGAAAATTGATTTATAACAACCCATCTTATTTATTTGTTTTTTCTTTTAATCTCTTAAAATTTATAGTAATTCGTAACTACTATGTTTTTTTAACCTTATGTCCAAAGTTGATTTTTAAAAAATAAGGTATCCAGATACTATTGTCCTTGTTTATTTTTTTACAAAGGAGAATTAAATCGTAATATATTGTCACTTTAAGAACGCCTTTGAACATAGCCTAATTATACTAGTTTCAAGATCAATTTATACATATCTAAAAAAATTTATTAATTATTAGTATTCATTCAGTCATCACGGGTCATATTATAAATTACATAATTTACAATTCTTTTGTAAAATTAATATATTCATTTCCTATTTTTTTAAACTTAGAAAAAAAGGCTTAAAACTTTATAAGCCTAGCTTTTTACATATAAATATTATATTTTATTGAATGTACTTATACTTCATAATACGCCAATATATTATTTGTATAAAAAATGATTTAATTTTGTTTTTAAAAAGAATTGAATAAAGGAAAAAATATTTTTAAATTACCTAAGATATATCGTTATTTTTTAATTTTTTTTTTACAAAACTTATCCAATCTTAAAATATACGTAGGTTAAAATGCTAGCTTTCAAGGACTGTATTAAAATAATGGGCGGAGACCTTTTTAGCAAAAACCACTGATATTGAAATGATTATTTTCAAATAAATAATTTAAAAAGGGAAAGCAATTAAATAAGCTTAAACTTCATGCTTAAATATTACAAAAAAATTATGTTGGAAATTTATTTATTAGAAAAATCACAAATTTTTTAAAAAAGATTTGATCTTGAAAATTTTTTAATTTTGACTTAAAGAGTGAAAGTAATTAATCAAGCTTAAACCATGTTTAAATTTAAAAAGAAATTATATTGAAAAATTAGTATGATGGAAATCACAATTTGGATATTCTTAGATTAAATTTTATCTTAAATTATAACTTTTTTGTAAAAAGTTTTGTTTTTTATACTTAAAAAATTTTTCATGTTGAAATCAAAATTTTTATCCAAATATTCGGTGCTTTAATAATTTTCATTTTCTGGCATGATAAAAGTTATAGTTTTTTTTTCAATATGCATATAACTTTGTAAAAAAAAAATTTTAATTTAAATTTAATCTATTTTGTATCCATTTATTTCCCATAAAAATATGCTACATAATATAATTTTTTATAATAATTTCGATAAAATAATAAATACATCAAATCATTCTATTTGTTTGTCGACTTCGATTATGGTACCTTTTTAGAAATATTTTTTGCACAAGTTGCCTGCTCCGTTAAATATTTCGCGAGGCAATGTCAGGTATATTTTTTTAAATTTGCCCGGCTCGTAGGCTTTTGAGTTCTCAAGTATATTAGGTCATGAAGATTGAGTGCAAAACTCCTGCCAACCCATGATGAGAGATTATTATTTCTTATTTTAGAGGTGACTCGGAAATAAAAAGATTTCGGTTAGGCTGTGATTGGAAATATATTGTTTTTACAAATTTAAATTTAATCGGTATAAAAATAAATAATGGTTTGATTACATGTTCACAATGAATAATCTTATCTAAAAAAAAGAAGTAATTTAGTATAATATTAGTTAAAAGGGTAATTTTGTATAATGTTAGCTAAAATAAAATAAGTTAAATTTTAAACATCACATTAGATCAAATCCTTTTATATTATATAATTTATGTTTGGATCATGTATATAACAATGAATATTATGCAATTTTTACCTGGTGCCTTATTTGACAATCATGCCTTTATAATCCTTAACCTAATCTATACTTATATTTATATCAGAGACTATATTTCGCTTAAAAGTATGAACAATATCATCTAATATACTTTTGAGGGAATGAAATTTTTATCAAGAAGATTTATAGATCATTAATATTATATGATACACTAATACAATATTACATGGTTATATATTTATCATAAAATAATGCATATGGGATTAAAGTTTTTGTATCATTTTGTTTTAAATATATACTTTTAATTCATATCCCTTTTATATATTAAATAACCTGAGTCATGTTTTTATTAATGATTGTTCAAAGATTTTTAGCTAATCTCAAATCAATTAATACTTATTCATTTTAGTATTACTTAAGTTAAAGTAACATCAAGTCAAGTCAGGCGCGTACGCAGGAATTTGGTCTTGGGGGAGGGGGGGGGGGGGGGGATAATAAAATTTTTTAAGAAATATTATTGTTTTTTAAAAATATCAAGCATAAATATATTAGGACTAATAACTATTTCTAATACACAATTTTAAATTTATGTGAATTATAAAAAAATTATATGTAAAGAATCACTTAAATGACCCAAAATAGAAATTTGAATTTTTTGAGCCTTTACACAAAAAGTTTCTTAGGAATAATTGCATTTTATATGTTATATATTTACAATGTAAAATCCAATCTTCGTTGTGATTGAGCTAATTTTTCAATTATCTCATCCTTGCTTGTCGTTAAATGCCTATGAATATTCAAAAGATCCAAACCTTTCAATCTACTTTCAGTGTTCTTCTTGGTATGTTTTTCAGAGACCTGCAGGCCCGGCCCCCGGGCTGGACAGTATTTTAATTTTTTTAAATATACCCGAGCCGGGCCCGAAATTTTTTTAAAAAAACACCCAAGCCAGGTCTGAAAATTTTATTTAAAAAAAAGCCGGGCCGGGCCTGAAAATTTTTTAAAAAAAGCCGAGTCGGGCCTAAAAAATTTTTAAAAAAAGCCGCGCCGGGGAAAAACTCCGGCCGGGCCGTAAAAAATCTTTAAAAAAAATCCGGGCCGTGCCCTGCAAATGGTACTTCTGCAGGCCTCTGTTATTCTTCTTAAAAAAAGAGAATGTTCTCTCATTAGTTTACTAATGGGAAGAGTTTATAAACCCATTTAATACATTGGGAATTCAATCTAAATGTTTGAAATAATGCAAAGCATCCATCGCATTTTTTGGGACTCAACCATTGTTAATCTTATAAACATAATTATTCAGCTAGTAAGGCATCATAAGATACTTTAACATCTTCATAATAAAAATCTAACAAATATTTTTTTTCTATCACCATCTGAAAAAGATTGGGAAAGCTTTTGTGGAAGTAATATTTGCAGATGTAAGTGCTGCATGATGAATTAAAAATTTATTTATTTGGGTTATAAATGTATCTGTATTTAAGATATACTCTTCTACTTATCCTATATTAATGTTTTAACGATGAGCTTGCCTTGCTACATGTCGAGTGAGACAAATATTAAACACGTATAGCTCTGCTTTTGACTCAACAATAAAATATGAAATTCTTCATCAACATTAGCCCTAATTTCCTTGAGTTCTGATCTCTCCGCTATTCTCATCTTCTTAACCAAGTCAATGTCATGTTTTTGAAAAGTAATACTTAAAATAGTTGTATAATTAAATAATACATTCTAATGAGAAATAAAATTTGGAATAAGCATTGAATCCAATAATTTTCTTGCTTCTGAGGAAATATTTCTTTCAGGCCATTGTGATATTTCAGTAATAGAAAATAATTGGCTCTTCTAACTCCTTAAAAGCTGTTACTGCTTGATGACAGAGACTCTATCTCGTTGGACAAGGTTGCAATTTCTTTTTCCCTTTGGACAAGAAGTTTCAGAAATAATAATTATTTGACTAGAAATTTGAAATGGTAGATAAATATTACGCCACTAAAAATTTGAAAATAATAAGTAAATATTACGCCGGAAAACTTGAAATCGACATTAATTGATAAAATAACTTAGTAGATAAATGTGATAATAAACGAATAAATATTAACAAATATAAATTAATATAAACAATATTATTTTTAAAAATATATCCGGCATCTGCATTTTTTGGCTTTAGGAGGGGGGAGGGGTTGCCCCCCCCCCCCGCTGCGTACGCCAATGAGTCAAGTAAAATTATTGATAAATTTTTATTAGAAAGCTATTCTATTAGAGGCTTATCATATTTTGTTTATTTTTCTCAAATTAACAACTATAATCTGTATGTGACAATACATCTTAACATATATTTAGATACACTTGGAAGCTTTCTGTCAACAGTTATTATCACCAATAATATAATGTTGATTTGTTTTATCAAGTGTAAACTAAATGTATTTTTTTTCTAAAAAGCATCCATAAAATTTATAACTTTATTCAATAACAAGCATACAATTTATATATTGTTACATATTAAAAATCATTTAAAATCTTATACTGATTGTATTTGCAATGAAATAATATATTATATTGATAATTTGTAATAATATATCATTTATAATTAAAGCAAGTATAATTTGTATTAAAAATAATAGATATTTTATTAATAAATTGATTTCTTTGTTTAAAATTAATCAACCACATTCATTGGTCAACTTTACGTAATAAATAAAATAACAATTTAAATATAAAATTTACCATTCAAGTCTTTAAAAAAATTTTAGATGAATGTATAAAACTACCTTTTTATATATATATATTTGCTTTATATAGAATTAAAAATTATATTCCTAGCACAAAGGAAAATCCTCTTTTACCTCTCTTTTAATAAATTGTATTCAGGGATGTGAACTCGGGACAAAAAAAGGGAGTCTGAGCTCAAATAAAATTTAAAAAAAGAGCTTGGGACTCAGGTTTGGGAAAATATAAAGAAATATTGACTTAAATTTTATGACCGCATATGAATACCACTTTTAAATGTATCTTTTATGACTGACTATAGATACTTAGACACTTTATAATTTTATTTTATTATATATCTAAATTCCAATAATACAATTTACGAATTTTTAAATACCAAAAAAAAACTAAAAATAAATATTAATAATTTTTTAACAAAAAGAAATAGATTTTTTTTAAAATATTTTTTCACTTCAATTATTATATATAAAAAAAATATAAATAATACACTATAATATAACATGTCCCATGTAACATTCGCGATAAAAAAAATAAAAAGCAAATAAATATTTTAAAACGGCATATTATAAATATAATCGACTTTCAGTGATAGCCTCTTCATTGTTGTGTTGTTTAATAGCGTTCTTATCCCGCATTTGATTAGTCACATCATTTTTTATAGTATTCATATCATTGGTTGTTCATCAGCTTATATATTAAGTTATTCATCCCTTGCTATTGTTGGTCATCGGACATATTTCTTGAAATCTAATGACTGCTGATTATATTTTGAATCGGACATATTTTATATCGGACATCGGTTAAACTGGACGTATGTTGATTATCAAACGTATATTTTGCAGGT